GTATATATGGGATATATGTGTGTGTATATATGGGATATATGTGTGTGCATATATGGGATATGTGTGTATGCATATGTATGGGATATATGCATATGTATATATATGGAATATATGCATATGTATATATGGGATATATGCGTGTGTATATATGGTATATATGTGTGTATATATATGGGATATATGCGTATGTATATATATATGAGATATATGTGTATGTGTATATATATATGGAAGAACTAGCTTGAGTAGCAGTAGCCAGGGAAGGGGAGCAGCTTCAGACCACCCTGGGGTGGCAGTGTATGCAAGGAGCTACAGGATGACCGACCCATTCCAGGCAGGGTCTCCCTGGACGGGAAAGTAAAAGGAAAGCTTGCTGGCATAGGAGGAACTGTCCCCAAGTCCTTCTCTACTTTGGCTCCATTAATCCACCCACCAATCATCCAATATCCATCAACACACCCATCCATGCATCCACTATCTGTCTACCCGCTCACCATTGGGCCATTCATCACTTGCCCCTTATTTTCATTTGTTAATACAGTCATCCCTCTGTCCAGTCATCAGCCCTCTGGCGCTCCACGGTCCCATTCTACTATCTTCCAATCTTCCAACCCAAGAATTCACCCTCTTTTTCCTTCTCCCTTCCCCCATGCATACACCCACCTTCTCGTCTATCCTGAACCCCTACTTACTAACCTAAGCCATGTTATACTCCAGAGATGAACCCCAGAAGGACACAGCCCTGGCCAGGCTCCTGGCGTCCAGGGATGGCATTAGCACACACCATCCTTTGTGCTGCCAAGTGTCGACAGTGCCAGGCTCTGTTAATTGCCATCTCCAAGTAAGGCTTGCCCGTAGGCCTTGAACTTACAGCTATTTACATAAGCTGAGATGGGCTATCCTGGGCTCAACCATCAAATCAAGAGGGTCTTGCAGCTCCAAGGACAGTCAGTGAGTACTTCCAATGGGACCGAGATGAGGGTACAAATCCTTGTTGCTATCCTGTCTCCTCTTCAGCCTGGCTCACCTGCCTGGCCTGCTTCCTGAGGACTCAGGCCCAGCAAGTTCTACTTAACACCTGCAGGTAAACAGGAGAGGGGGAGGATGGCAGGGAGGGGGGGACAGTGACAGCGCCCTCATTAGTTTGGTTCTCCCCCTGCTGTCAGACCAGATGAGCCATCCTCAATCTGGCTTGTCACATCCCCCATCTCAGACCTTCTGTGGCTTCCCATTGCTCAGCTCCCCAGCATGTACCTTGCCTGACCCTTCTTTTCCTAGAATGCCCTCATTCTGCTTCGCTCTATGGAACCACAGGGCCTGCGAGGTTGCGGTGCTCACTCCCTGAACATCCTACCCAGTTTCCCACGTCTCTCTTTTGCCAGTGTTCTTCCTGGCCAGAATAACCTCACCCCACACCCACTTCTCTCCCTATGCTTACTTAGTCTATCTATATACATCCCCCTTCTGAGGTGCCCACCTCATTCATTAATTTAAACTTTACATTTTAAATATTACCTAAAGGCTAAGTATTACCCAGCCTTGCACCGCCTCTACCACCACCACGGGCTTCCAGCCAGGTGGGAAAACAATACCAGGCTAAGATTGCAGGGTGGCACAGAGACAGCTGACCTGAGCTCGTGGGAGCTCACGGACTCGGGACTGACAGCTAAGGAGCCTACATGGGGCCAACCCAGGGCTTCTGCATGTGGGTTACAGTTGTGTAACATGGTCTGTTTGTCGGGTTCCTAGCAGTGAGATCAAGAGCTGTCCCTGATACAAGCTGGCTTTTGGGAACCTATTCCCTACACTGGGATGTCTCGCCCAGTCTTGATGCAGGGCAAGGAGTTTGGTCCTGCCACAGGTTGATTTGCCAGGCTTTTTAGTCTCCCATTAGAGGCCTTCCCCTTTCAGAATGGAGGAGTGGATGAGGGGGTAGATGGGAGGTGGGGGAAGGGAACAGGAGAAGAAGAGGGAGGAGAAACTGTGATTGGTATGTAAAACAAACGAAAAAATTTTAATAAAAAAAAAAAAGATTGCAGGGTGAGGTGACTTTGGGGGTTCTAGAAGGAGGGAGCATTAGAGATGGTCCCTGAAGGACAAATTCGATAAGGAGGGGAATAGAAAGGGACAAGGGACAGATGGAACAATGGAGCGAGGGCAAGGGGAGCCTGCCAGACTGCAGCTGACCTTGACAGCGGCCTCTCTGCTTCTCAGGTGCAAGCTGCTCTGCCAGAAACTCATGGAGAAGATGGGTCTTCTGGTCCTCTGTGCTTTTGGTGCGTCTCCAGGGCCCTGCCTAGGGGAGGCAACCCCAGACTCAGGCCCATTTTGGGAGAGGGAGAGGTGACCCTGTCTTTGATGCTATCAGTGGGTGCTGCCCTGCAGCGCAAGAGCAATGGACAGTCGTAGAAGCCAGCCAGTGCTTTGAAAACATTTTAGAGTCAAGAACAGTGACTGTGTTTTAAGTACTTTTAAATAATAGTTTCAAACCAGCCTGGAGCTCATAAAATGCAGGAGAGTGCATGTTACCTTCTCTCAGTCCACTATGCAGCAGAAGGAGGTGTGTCATTTAGCTTATGTGGCAGACATCTCACAGAGGACTTGGTTTGAGCATGAGGTAGAAATCTCTCTATTCCCATCTTATAGAGGGGGACCCTAAGCTCCAGAAAGATGAAGTTACACAACCCTAACTTAAATGCCTTAATTCCAGAATCCAAGCTTTCAGCCTTTTGAGTTAAGTGGGTCATTCTTGTTCTCCTGGCCCACAGGCTTCTGGATGTTTTCCATGCATTTACCATCAAAAATGGAAGTCTGGCAGGTGAGTGTGAGCCCCCCACAGGCCCCATGGCTGACGGACCTACCCAAGCCATCAATATCCCTCTGTAGTTCCTCCTCCTCTCACCGAATCTGAATGATGCTCCGTTCTTGACTCATCCCAGATCCAAATCCCTACCTTTGTCACCCCACCCACCCGAACCCCCTCTCCTGTAAGTGACTCTCACAGACCACACAGTCATCCCTCCACCATCATGGGGCTTTCCTGTCATTCACCCTGCAGTGGCCCATCTCCTTCCTCTAGACCACGCCTAAAATAAGGCATGAGGAGGAACCACACTGCTCTTTCTGCCCTCTCCGCTTCAGTTAGTTGAGACTCACCACCAGGTTTGGTTTTCTGAGGAAGAAGAAAGAGGAACCCGGTGACAAGAGCTACTAATAAGGTCACAGAGACCCATAGAGAGCGGATGGAGGGCGTTGGAGGACAGGTCTCTTTTCTGCCTCTCACCCTGTGCAAACCGTTGTATTCTTCGAGGTCTAGTTGAAGGATCACAGCCTCTAGGCACACCAAAGCAAAGGAAGTCACATTTTTCCTTTTCCTCCAACTTCTGTAACCATGACCACCTCTCCAACTGTACCGGCCACCCCTTATTGGAAGCAGGCAGGTCTGATTCATATAAGCAACAGCCATTTCAGTGCTAAGCACAGGGGACCGACTTTATCAGCGCTGGGTGGCTGGTTACCAGGCGGGAGTGTGAACAGAGAAAGCATGGATAGAAGATAGGATGGACAGATGGATGGATAATCATGGAGGGGAAGAAAAGCTCTGAATTTGGATAGATGGCATTCAGGTGGCTAGATGGGAGATTAAATATGAAGGCAGAAGACTGGGCAGTGGTGGCACTCGCCTTTAATCCCAACACGCAGAGAGAGGCATGCAGATCTCTGTGAGTTCAAGGCCAGTCTGGTCTACAGCTAGCTCCAGGACAGCCAAGGATACATAGAAAAACTCCTGTCTCAAAAAAATTTAAAAAAAATTAAATATGAAAGTAGATGAATGAATGGATTAACGGCTATGAGAGAGCAGAGAGATGAAGCTCTTATCGGGCTCAGATTAGGTCACCTGACAGAGATCCCTGCTTTCTTCAACTCTCCATCAGGATGACAGCATAAGCAGCCCACTGCAGAGCCTGAGGTAAGCAAACTACTCATTAGTCCTATAGCTGGAATCTGGGGTATATCCTTAGCCAAAACTATGGGCCCACACTCAGACCACCCTGGACGTGAATCCTAGCTCCTGTGAATTCTATGTGACTGAGCGTATACAAGTCATCTCTTTTTTTCTGGACTTTTGATTTCTCATTTGTGAGATGAGACATAGCTTTCATGTTGTTCCGGGTAAATAAGCATTTAAAAAAAGGCATCAAACATCCTGAATAGTTACTGACTCATAACCGGTGCTCAGCAAATGATAGCTGAGAAGAAATAAGTCACTGCCGGTGACAGCAGTACACAGACAAAAAATACTCATGAACATTTTGGGAGGGTTGAGCTGGACTTACAGATGTTCCAAGCAGAAGGAAGAGAAGGAGTAAAGCTTTAGGGTTAAGAACCTGAGGGTGATGTGTGAGAGGCAGACCCAGGAGAGTGGAAGGTTTTAAAGGTCATTCATTAAGACTCACTCACAGAAAGATAGCAAGGGCAGCATCCACACCATAAAGCAGTCAATTCTTGCTTTACCTCCTTGTTGATAAGGATGTACCAGGAGAAGGTACGACATCACACTGGGGAAATCCAGGACCTACGAGGTAGCATGAACCAGCTCATTGCCAAACTCCAGGAGATGGAAGCCATGTCCGATGAGGTGAGATGCTGCCTTTGGACCCTTCACCACCCAGGGTCTTCTTGATGCCCTGTTTTTTTATATCTTCTATAAAAATAAGCTATCTTCTCCCTTTGTCTCACCCTCATTTTGGTGGAGCATATCTTCCCCCAACCCTCGCCAATAACTTCATGAAAAAGAGTGAAAGAAGAGAGTTATATGGCTTTTCCGAGCCTTTTTAGAATGTGCATGCTTTAAAATATCCACATCCTATACTTAGCATCTAATTGATAGTTTTGCTAGGTATAGAAGTCTAGAAAGTCTCTCCTGAAAATTGTGAAGGAAGCCCATCATATTCTAGTTTTACCATTGCTACTGAAAATTGCACCATTTTGAACTTTCACCCTTGGGGTCTAATCTGGTGTTTGTTTTGGCTTTATTTTTATTCTCAGAAACTATAATGTTCCTTTTGTGTCCAGCATAACCTGTCTGGGAGTTTGATATTATTGAATATATACATTGGTGTTCTTCAAAACTTCTTAAAAGTCTTCATTTTTAATCTCTGAAAATATTCTTTCTTATCCATAAACTCTTTGCTCTCTTGTATTCTGATTATATCTATGCTAGACCTATGAAGTGGGTTCCAAGTTTTTCCCACCTGATTTATTTCTTGTTCTTCATTCTTTTTCTCTATGACCTAAGTTTTGACAGTTTTGTCTCAGTTTTCTTCAGACTCACTTGCAATCCTGTATTCTGTATATAAACTCAACCATTCATTTCATATATTGCATTATTTCATTTTATAATTTATATTCAATATGTTTTCATTTCATAGACTTAATTCTACCATCACTTCAACATTTGTCTGTGTTTTCTTTTCTCCTTTAAGATATTAGTCATGGTTATTTTTTAAATCTTTGCCGGCTAACTTCAATATTGTTCCTGTTTTACTTTTCTCACTTTGCATTATCTTTTGATCTTACCTATTAATGTCTACTAATTTGGCGTGTTTTGGGACATGATATAAAAGAATTTACATAATTGCAAATATCACTGTGGAAATATTCTTTGCTTCATAGGAAAGATGAAGTAACCATGCCACTTCTTCCTTGGTGAGTACTAAGCTGGCTTAGATAAATAGACACAGACTGAAATTTTTATAAGATTTTTTAGGGGTTTTTGACTGATTTGAATTCCTGCCCAGTTATCTTCAAAACTTTGTCAAATGCCTAACCACACGCTTGAGGGTTCTTAAGCTTTCTGGTTTGTCTTTTAGCCCCACATGAATATAAAATCCCTGGCCCCAGTGGCACCTTCCTTACCAGTGGCAAATTCCATCCTCCTGGCACGTCTGTCTTCCGAGGCTCTTCACTGCTGCCCAAGCTTCCATCTTACAGCTTCACACATCAGCCTGGGGATTCTGATCCCTATTTACCTAGTCTCCAGGTCCTTCTTTAAAATCAGGGTGAAACCTCTGTGATTCTGTAATTCTTGCATTCTTTACAAAATCAGCATCATATGGGTGGTGCCAAGGTCTGCTACAAGCTCAAGGAGAAGCTAGGTCTCCCTGGACCAGGGCTGTTGTGGCTTCTGAATGCCTAAGTGGCTGACACGGTGAAACCAATCTTGGATAAACACTGTCTTACACAATCCTTTGCGAGCAGGGTACCCAGAGGCACTTTCTTCTCAAGGATAAATCTTGAAAATGAATTTGTTCTTTCATACCCTTGTACCTGCTGTGGTGGGGTATGGACAGGTCTTGAGATACCATTAAGACCCCACTCCTCTTGTCCTGATGAAAAGCACTTGGTTTCTTTTTAAGAACCAGAACCACCCTTCCTCACTACTTTAAGTGTGCCCTTTTTCTGGCCAAATCAAGTATTTCTGCTCTGTTTTTTGCTCCCAATTCTTGCTGTAACCCTAGCTGAAAAGCAGCCAGTAATAGTTATGTCATTGACTATATACTCTACTGTCTTAGAACTTCCCCCGAATAAGTTGGGTAGCCCATCACATTTAAACTCAGCCTTCCATAAAGAGGAAGGAAGTTCCATACAGTGGAACATGGAAAAGGTAATAGATACATTCTTTACCAGAACATAACAAGAATACTCCTTGGTCCGAATCCTGGTAGAGTCCTCAGTCTCATCTGAAACTCCATGACCGTGACCTGAACTTCCCAGATGCTTGTCTTCAATATGATTAAGCTCTGTAAGCCTTAGAACATTCTAGGACTTCTCTAGCCCATTTTGACAAACTCTTCCAAATTCCTCCCACAAATCGATTTCAAAAGCTTAAGAACCGCATGGTCAGGTTTAGCCACAACATCAACCTCATTCTTCTGGTACCAATTTTCTGTGTTTATTTTATTGTCATTGTGACTAAAATATAGTGTAACAACTTAAAGGGAGGGACCATTATTTTTGGCTCAGGGTTTCAGAGAACTCCATCAATTCTCGCTTGGCACAGTGTACTAGACAGAACATTATGGTAGTTGGAGTGTATGACATAGGCTGTTTAATTACCTCATGGCCAACAGGAAACAGAGCAGAGCAGCAACAGGAAGGGGACAGAGCAAAACAAAGTCCCCAGGGACACATCTCAGTGACTTATTTTTTCCAGTTAGACTCAACTCCTGAAGTTTCTAGAACCTCCAAAAACAGTGTCACCGCTTATGAACCTTGTGTGGAGAACACATAGTCAAATCATAAACACCATTAATCAAAGCACCCGCAAATGACCTGTCACATGACCTGGCTCCCTCACAACGTGACTTTGAGACCCCAGAGGTACAAGCAACACTATTGGAAGCCCTTTGGACCCAGTCACAAAGCATCTTTTCTGCCCTAGTCCACACTGATGGGCAGGGGACCCTGGACAACTCCCCACAACACATACCTCTTTGAGAAGCTATCAGTGTCAGATTGAAAAATTAGAGCGTGGAACAGGGAACCTTGTTGCAGCCATTGTTGGACAACAGAACTGGCCTCCACTGGAGGTGTTTACGCAGAATAGCTGACTGTAACTGAGCATTGGCTGTGCACAGAGCTTTGCAGTCTTCCTCTGCCAGGCCAGGGGGGAGCGTAGGAGCCCAGAACCTGCAAGATGCTGGCTCTGCTCTTACAGCTGGGTGAGTACCAAAGCTTTATTCCTGTAGGCTACAGTATTCTTACCTCAAAGGTGGTGTGACAATTGCCCAAATCTCCCAGGAAGGCCATAGGGGATGACAGAGAACAGGATGGATGGAGAACAGGTCTGCACATAGTGGGGCTTCACACAGCTCTCTAATACCTAACAACATTCCACAGCCATGGTGGCAGACAGGAATTTTGCCCCATCTTACAGACTTAGAAAATCTAGATTCAGAGGCACCATATTGCCCAAGACCCACAGCGGTAAGGTCTGTCTTCTTCCCGAGGCCCTACCTTTGACCTCCCTAAGTCTCTAGGACCTCCATGTGACATCTTGCAAAATGAACTTGAAAGGTCATAAGAGACCCAGAGAATAAGGGTGACTTCGTTTCTCAGAGTTTCCTCACAGTATTGCAATTGGATCATCCTACTAGGGGTCATCCCCAGCCTCTGAAGGTGGGAGAGGTGTCCATCTGTCAAGGACACACAGATGAGGCTCGCAATTCTTAAGAATATAACAGGACATGGCCTTCGTTTTCTGCCTTCTCAGCAAAAAATGGCACAGAAGATAATGAAGATGATACACGGTGACTACATTGAAAAGCCAGACTTTGCCCTGAAGTCCATAGGTACGTGA